CTTGTCCGGTTTTAGGATGGTTCTAGAATTTTCCTAGACCATTTTTTTATTTTTTTTATTTTCGTTCTTTCCTTTCTTTTTTGCTTTTTCTTTTCATTTTTAGTTTTCGTATATTCTTTTTGTAATGTTCAACTTTTATTTTTCTACATTTTTATTTACATTTCTTTTTTAACATTTCTATATATTTTTTTCATTTTTGCGAACATATTTTCAAATTTGCGAGCACTTTTTTGAACTCATGAACTTTTTCGAAAATCATTAGTGTTTCTTGAATTCGCAAACATGTTTATGAAATCATGAATTTTTTTAAATTAGAAAACATTTTTAAAAATTCTCGAGTATTCATGAGAATTATTTGAATTCAAAACATTATTTGAATTCACGAACACTTTGAAAATTCTCAAAAAATTCTTGCACTTGTTTAAATTGTAAAAAAATTGAACTCATGAACATTTTTCTGAAATTGTGTAGATGTTTTGAAACCCACGAACATTTGTTTGAATTTGGGGAACAAATTTTAAGTTTCATGAACATTTTTTTGTTTTGATAAACCTTTCTTCAAATGCATGAATTGTTTCTGAATTCATGGACTTTATTTGAATTAACAAACATTTTTAAATCGATGAACTTCTTTGTAACTCACAAACATATTTTGAGTTCTATGAATATAGTTTTAAAATTATGAATATTGTTTGAGTTCACGAACTTTTTTTTCAAATTCTTGAACAAATTTTCAAAATTCTGATCATTTTTTTATTTCTAGAACATTTCTTTTCAAAATTGTGAACAATTTATAATAATCCATTTTTTAAAAATCATAAATATTTTTTGAATCTATCAACATTTTTTGATTTCTTGAACTTCTTTTCAAAATTCACTTTTTTTGCAATTCTGATTTATATAAAAATAAAAACAAAGAGAAAAATAACAAAAAGCAAAATAATGAAAGAAAATGAAAATGAAAAAGTGGGGGGCATCTGGCCCCGCCTATGGGTCGGTCCAAAAGGGCACCGGGGAGCACATAGAGTGCCAAATTGGAGCTTCCCCATATTTGGGGGCGAACTGGGGGATTACCAATGTTTGGGCCGCTCTCACCCAATATGAACGCCTTAGTTGCAAGGTGTCCAAACCACCCAGTTCCCAATATAGCAGGATCTACTAAATAAGGGGTATCTATTGCAGGAGCCCCTCAATGGTCACACTCTTAGTCATCGCCACGTATCGCGTGATGGACGCTCTCCCGAAATTTCATTTTTTTTTTACAAGTTTTCAGATTTTAGATGGGCTTTTCGGGTTTTTTCGGCATTACTATTTTCCCGTTTTTCCAAGCTTTTGGACCCACAACAAATTGCGTGCAAAAAAGTGTTTTCTTTTCTTTTTCTTCCGCTAGAGGCTTGTGAAGGCATATATTTGTTTCTGCGAGAGACACAACTATACCTCTCAGAAAAGGGAAAATGAGCTTTTCTTTTTTGTACGAGAGGCACATATGTACTTCTCGTGAAGGCACGGATTTGCTTTCGCGAGAGTGTGCCTCTCGAAAAATAAAAAAACCCATGTTTTTTCTTGCTTTTGGGAGAGGCACATATTTGCTTCTCCTAAAGGCACATATTTGCTTTCTCGATAGGCACATGTGCCTCTTCGGAAAAGGAACAAAAAAGTAAAGAACCATGCTTTCAATTTGGAGTTTTCATTTAGTTTTTTGTGAACAAAAGTTTAGCAAAACCTATCAACATGGGATTTAGTTTTGAAAGTCTCAATGGGATAAATCCAATAATGAAAAACGGTGCAGGATTTGAAGGCACGGTTTAAGAGATAAAACATTTTAAATAAACGAATCTATGAAAAAAGAGAAAACTCTCCGGTTGTGACAAATGCCACATGAAGTACGCCAGTTGTCGCAACCTAGAAAGGTTGGAATGAAATTTACAATGAATACCCCTTAACAAATGATTTCACAATACAGTGCCTTCGGTGCCAGTTGAGCTGACTCGCCCTAACACATGAAAGTTAATG